GCCACTGGATATACCTATCCAGGACTTCTGAAGGCTTTTTTGAATTGCCAGGTACCAAAGAACAAACTAGTAGTTTGAAACTACACATAATAGCTGAAAATTGCTAAAGGCAAAATCATTTTGAAGAAGAAGAAGAACACTGAGATAAACCTGTTTGAGGAGCGGCTAGAAGTTTGAAGAAATACAGCTGCGTTGCCAAATCGTACGCAATGTTCAAATTTCAACATAACCTAAAATAGCTAGTCTAACCTAATCTACTTTTTCTATGGTCTAGCGTTTTATATGGTTTAGAGCATTGAGTAATAAGTGGTTTAGAGTAACCTGTTGATTTCGGTGTGAGTGGTTAATTGTTATATTATGCTAATTAGCATTTTGCTTTGTTTTGTGTAACATTTTACTTTGTTTTTGTGTAGTTTTTTGATCTGTGTTGTGTAGTGGTTTTAACGACAGGACGTTACAATGCCGTTTGTCTGCAATTCGTGCTCTAAAGTGTTTGCAAGAAAGATACAGCTTAATAAACACATGGAAAACCTACATAAAGATAATGATTTCCATAAATATCTTAGCAAATGCCTGGAAGACAACTGCCAAACTTCTTTTAAATACACTGCACATCTGAGAGAACACCTTCAGAGTTGTCACAGCAAAATTATTGAAAATGAAACGCTGTATTTTTCAACAGAAGGGGGTTTGTATATTATTTGAGTCATAAATTTACAAAACTGACTGACCAAAATTATGAAATTTTCAATTTTTTTTAGTTAAAGAGTGAGATTTGGAAATATAAGCCTCATTTTATTACTAATAGTATATTTCTATACTTATTTATTTTTTAGAATTTTATGATTGGAAAAATACTATTTGCAAAAATAACAACGTGCAATATAACTGTATGAAGAAAAATGACCTGACATATTTTAACTGCAACCGATCAGGTATTTGATTCATATATTTTAATATTTTGTAGTTAATGTGGATTAAGTTTATAGTTTGCTTATCACTTTTCAGGACTCTTTAAAGACAATAATAAGAACACAGTCAAATGTTTAAAAAGTCAAGGGAGTTGTAAAATCAACAGCAATTGTACCAGTCAGATAATTTTAAAAAAGATGAATATGGACAAGTATAGAGTTGACTATTTTAAAACACACTATGGACATGACTTGGAAGTTCAGCATATTAGAATACCAAGAGAGGATAGAATTGATATTTCAGCCAGATTGTCAAGTGGGGTTCCAGTAGTCAGGTAATATATTACATTGGCAAAATTATTAATTACCTACAATATATTTTTTTTTCTTTTTAGAATTTTAGATTCCTATAGGAACTCTATTGAGGAGGAAAAGTTGTCTCGTTGTGATATAATCACAAGGAAAGACATCAATAACATAAAAACAGCATTTAACATAAATATCCAGGAGGGAGTAAGACATGAAAATGACAGTGTAAGTGTTGAACTTTTGGTTGACCAATCAAAAGATTTTGTTCTTTTGCACAAAAAGCAAGGAGAGCATTTTGAAAAACTTGCTCTTAATGACTTCTGCATAATTTTTATGAATCTTACACAAACAAATATGTTGCAACGGTTTGGTAGTGCTGTAGTTGCTATTGATAGCACTCATGGTTTGAATATGTACGACTTTGAACTAACCACTCTAATGGTCATTGATGAGTTTGGTGAAGGATTTCCTGTTGCATGCATGTTCACCAATCGTAAAGACACCCTTGTTTTTGAAATTTTCTTTCAAAAAATTAAAGAAAAAGCTGGTTTAATAACCCCAAATGTATTTATGAGTGACATCACAGAGGTGTATTACAATGCATGGAAGGCCACTATGGGGGGTGAAATTCCACACAGATTGTACTGTGCCTGGCACATTGATAGGGCATGGAGGACTAACCTATCCAAAATTCCAAAAATTGAGACCAGGAAACAGGTCTATCAAACCCTCAAAGTTTTGCAAAGTGCTCTAACACTACCAGTATTTGAGAGGAATTTTGACACTGTAAAAAAACTTTTTCACAATAACCCTGATACTAAAGAATTTGCTGAATATTTTTTAAAAAAATATTCAAATAACTGCCATATGTGGGCCTTCTGCTATCGAAAGAATTGTGGTATTAATACAAATATGGTGATTGGTTAATATAAATATTTACAATTGCTTAAAAGCTTATTAACTTCTTAATGAAAACTGCTTTAGCAGGCATGTAATTAGTCTTCAATGCTTTTACTGTTTTGTAGTACTAATATTTGGTAGTCATACTTTTAAAAATAACAGATAATTCCACTTATCTTTTATACTTTTTGTAGATATATAGATAAACATGTTACATTAGATATTTGCATGTGTATTATTGTTATTAAATTCACTTTTTGGGAGGGAAACAGTATTTAATATTAATTACTGATGTGTTTCCCCTATATAATACATTTGTTAATAAATATTTTGATTTTAGGTACTTGAGAGCATGCATAAAACGATTAAGTACTTTTATTTGGATGGGAAAACTGTGAAACGACTGGATAAGGGCATAACAGCCGTTCTCAAATATACTCGAGACAAAATTGTGAACCGCTTGATAAAGATTACAAAAGGAGTGAATAATTGTCATATTCAAGACATTCACAAAAGGCACCGGGTTGCATTAACTAGTAAGATGGAAATTACTAATGAAAATAATCATACTTGGATTGTACAAACAGAAAATGGAAAATATCAGGTTTCAAGAAATGAAAAAACTTCAGATGAAAACTGCAAGTTAACTTGCTCATTTTGCAAAATATGCATTCACGATTTTGAATGCACATGTGCGGACTTTTACATAAGAGGAACCATATGTAAGCACATTCATTTCATTAAACTAAATGTACAGAATATTGAAGTTGATAATAAAGAGATGGAAGATGAATCAGAATTCAGAATAAACCCATGTGTGGAAGAAACTGTTTTAAATCTTAAAACATTGTCAAACTATGGGCTGACAGAAAACAAGAAAAATGTATCACATGAAATAAAAAAAGCATGCACACAACTGTTAGAAATTCCTGATTCAGTGTATGAAAATAACGAAACTGGCCCCCAAATTTTGAAATTTTTGCAAAATTGTATTGCTTTAACAAGCATACAAAAAGGTGATTCTAAAAAAAGAATTATAACAGACAATAAAAATTGCCAGGGTAAGTAAAACTATTTATCATATTATGTATAATGTGTTTTATTTATATATACATATATTTTTAGAACCCGCAAATAAAAAAATAAAAAAACAAAATACTTTTTTTTCAACTATGAACAAAGTAAAAGGAAGCAAAAACACCATTAAAAGACCCACACAATCGGAAATCTCTTTAATAACATCTCAATTAAATACCCAAAGTGATCATGATTATACATGCTAGCTATTTTTTTTACAATAAACAAAATTCAACCATAGCAGATTAAAAGAGAAACTTACCTAAACAGTACACCTTAGTTAATGGAAAGCATACAGCCATTCCAGGCGTAACGGATGGGAAAATTTTCAAGTTTTTATTTACAACATAATATTGTTCTATTATATTACCAATGTCAAATTTTTATAAATAGTTCTAAACAAAAGCTGTTTAACAAGGTTTTTATTTGGCAAAATTAGGTATCATGGTTGACGCTTTAAATTATTAATTATTAAGGAATTAAACAGTCAACCACAATACCTAATTTTGCCAAATAAAAACCTTGTTAAACAGCTTTTGTTTAGAACTATTTATAAAAATTTGACATTGGTAATATAATAGAACAATATTATGTTGTAAATAAAAACTTGAAAATTTTCCCATCCGTTACGCGTGGAATGGCCGCATAGTAAGGCACAAGTTGTTAAACACGTATCAGAACACATTCATTAACAACAACCTTTAACCATGGAAAATGCAGCACTATCAATACAAGCATACTATCTTACGTCTTTACTGGAAAATGTTAAAAATGCAAGTAACTTTGACAGCTTTAAAAGAAACTGAAGCACCACTACAATATGTATTATGTAATTTAACAAATGTGATAAAAAGTATTTAAATTAAGACTACAACCATGTACCTGCTAAATAATCTCATTATCAGCATTTGGCTGATTTGAGATTCTAAATGAGGAGCGATCAGACAAAACCAGACAAATCCATTGTAGTGATTTGCAGAAACAAATAAAAAAATAAAAGAATTCGTTTGCTTTTGACTTATTTGTCTGGTTTTGTCTGATTTCTGCTTAAATGTACCTGAAACATTATGATGCTATATTATTGTTATATTATATTATACTTGTTATTATAGATGGTATATGCTTGAGCCCTTTGCAAAGTGCTCACAAATGCTCGAGCATTTAAAAGCATTTATGACCGCTTTTGAAAGTGCTCATCCTTCTATCTTGTTATTATATTGTTTTTTTGGAAATAAATATATAAATAGAATTATGTGGGTATTATTTGTCTTCCAAAGTTATTGCAAAAAAAAAGATTATATGGGTAGGTATCTACATATGAGTCGTCTAGATGCAAAACTCTCCATTTGCCTTTTTTAATAAGGACAAAACATGTTTCCATAGAAATATAACTAACAGGGCTAAAAAAAATGACGATTTTTGAAGATGTGTTTTTTCTATAATAATAATTTTATGATCTTCAGCAAGCAATAAAATTAATTAATAATTTGCACAAAGAAGTCTGGAAAAATCTATGTTAGTTTCAAAGAAAACGTAAAATAAAAAGTATTTTCTTTTTGCTTATGCCGTTACTAATAATGGAATCGCCCTCATACATACTTGTCATTTTTTATTTTCCTTTGTATTATTCTATGACACAAAATACATTAATTCATGCCAATTTATAAAATCCAACACTGGTAAATATTTGAAATATGATTGCAATTTAAAACTACCGCGTTTTGTAATTGGTCTAATAGTGGGTGCACAACTTGGCAACGCAGCTGTATTTCTTCAAACTTCTAGCCGCTCCTACCTGTTTGATCCTGATTTTTTGCTAACATAACCTTACTTTAAAAAGTCAAAATAAAGCTAAATTATTGTAACTCAAAAACTGAAACATGGCAAAAGAACTTACTGAAGAAGAAATGGACCAGTTTGATTGGTTAACTTTACAAAGAGATATGGACACAGTCATGCCAACAGAAACTCAATCGCAAAAGTTTCTGAGAAAGTTTAAGGAAAACCCTTTTGTACCTCTTGGTAATATTACATAATAAAAAGTATTAAAACACATACTTAAACACTGAATACATATAAATATATACATATATATATAAACAAGGCGCTGGCCAAGTATTACAAGGGTGTATGTAACAAATTTAAAATTATCTGCTGTAGTACTTTACAAGGTACCATATACATATACAGGGGTATTCAGTTTGTTAACAAAAATTGGCAACACAAAATAATGAAGCCTACTTGATTATTTTGTGTTGCCAATTTATGTTAAGGAGTTGGACGAACATAAGTATTTAAATTTTTTACAGACACCCTTGTAATACTCGGCCAGCAAAGGGGTAAACCACTGATTTAAATAAAAATAAAAATCGCATACAAATTAACGGCTAAGAAAAAAAATCATAAGGGTAGTTATGCGCAACGCGTCGCTAAGAGAAATTCCTTATTGATAAGAATTTTTCCTTAAAATACGAATTGATAAAATCAGAGCACAACATTAATTATTAATGTAGTTAATGTAATTATTAATAATTAATATAATGTTGATCATTGATCTCGCTGATATATGTATATACCTATATAATATATAATATCGACCCATGCAACGAAGACTATTGTAACTCAATTTTGATTGTAGACTAGAGTAACTCAACTTAATATAGTTTTTTCCTGTAGGAATGTGGATTATTACACTTACTATACAGGTAAGTTGTTCACTGGTTGCCTATCGTTTCATGTCTGAGTTACTGTAATCTTCCACCAAATAGAGCTTGAAAAAATCTGTTGATGCCATATAGTAAGTCAAAACCCACGTTTTTTGAGTTACTATAGTCTTTGTTGCATGGGTCGATATGTAATATATAATTATATATATATACAGGGTGTCCGGGAAAAGGAGGTCAATCCGTTAACCATATATTCTTTGAGTTAAAACAATAAGACTTTCATAATACCATTTTTCAATTTAGAGCTTCATGTTCGATATACTGGGCGACAAAGTTTGAAATTTAAAACTGATTTTTTTTAATAATTCGAGTAATTGATAAGATATTAAGTTTAAATTCGGTACACTACTTCAACATAAATAGTTACATTTTTTGAGACCAACAAAACAAAAAACAATTGTCAAATAATCAAAATAGGGGGGGTCCAGTACTCACTGACTCCCCCTATTTTTAGTACGTGCGCCAATGACTTCCAAAAGGTATTTTTTCAGGTAATCATTTATTGTTAAAAAAAATTTGTCTCTTATAAAATTTTGTTAAAATGAATTGTTTTAGAGATAATTTGTAAAGTATGGGTCAGTCCATATCAAATCAACCAAAGGTTCTTCCCCCACCATCTCCGATTTTGATAATTTTTGGAAAATTTGTTTACCTCACTAAAAAACTCAAAAATCTCATATATGAATTTTTTTCGATGGGTGGTTTTTGTTTTATTGATTTTTGAAAATCAAAAAATTCCGATAAATTTGGGTTTTGCAAGTACTTACAAAAATAGCGATATCTCGTAAACTATTAAAAGTAGAAAGGTGAGTGATGGCTTATTTTAAAGGCCCATTAGAGACCTTTTTATGATATATCACAGGACCTAAATTTTTTCAAAAAAAAAAATTAAATTTCAAAAATTTGATATGGATTGACCCATACTTTACAAATTATCTCTAAAACAAATCATTTTATCAAAATTTTATAAGAGACAAAAAATTTTCAACAATAAATTATTACCTGAAAAAATACCGTTTGGAAGTCATTGGCGCACGTACTAAAAAATAGGGGGAGTCAGTGAGTACTGGACCCCCCTATTTTGATTATTTGACAACTGTTTTTTGTTTTGTTGGTCTCAAAAAATGTAACTATTTATGTTGAATTAGTGTACCGAATTTAAACTTAATATCTTATCAATTACTTGAATTATTAAAAAAAAACAGTTTTAAATTTCAAACTTTTTCGCCCTGTATACCGAACATGAAGCTCTAAGTTGAAAAATGGTATTATGAAAGTCTTATTGTTTTAACTCAAAGAATATATGGTTAACGGATTGACCTCCTTTTCCCGGACACCCTGTATGTATCACCACACATTCAGTGTTTAAAAGTGTGTGTTTTAATATTTATAAATATATAATTAAATTATAGGTTGTTTGGCTACTTCCATGGCTCTTGGTTATGGTTTGTATACATTCAAAACAGGACAAAGGAAGATGTCTCAGTACATGATGCGTACCAGAATTGCAGCTCAGGGGTTAACTGTTTTGGCTTTGGTAATGGGAATAGGAATGGGAGCACAAACTCAAACTGCAAAAAATAATAAAGGTTAAAAAAATTAAAAATTTGTAGTTGTAAAATTGTTTAACTACCTAGATCGGAGAGTTACAATTTAAAATAGGCACTTTAGTTAAATTATCTGTTTTTATCTGTTTTTAATAATACTTTAAATTCAGTCAATTGACTAACAAAATCATAAAAATTTGTAATTAATATACATAAATAAAAAATCCAATTTTTGTTTTGATTAATAGAGGTACCTACAGGTACACACCGATTTGGAAATATTCGGTTGAGGTACTGCCGATGGTCGACCATTGATTCGGTAATGGGGCGATGCTCCATCTTGCTGAAACCATATCAAAGTTCGTTACAACACACTTGATCATGTACTCTGTACAAAAAGTTTTTGTTGAAAAAAATTCGCAACTAAAAATACCCATTGACGTGTCCGAGCGTTTTTTGGAACACGCCTCCATTTATGTTTTATCGAATTTATTTCATTTTGATGATACACACTGTAAATATATTGGCCTATTCCCTTTCGCTAAACATGCATGTTCATGAACTACATATGTTTCATAACATATGTGCCTATTCCCTTTCAAATGGTCACAGCAGCGCGAACCCCACCCCCCATGTCACGTCACAAATTCAAAAAACTAATAATTGAATAAACAATTTTTTTTTTAATTTTTATTTTTGAACAAGTTAATTCTGAATAAAAAAATTACAAGAGAACAAAAATGTATTTTCTCAAATTTCCTCCAAAGGATTTTCAAAACATTTAACAGCAGAATGAATTGGCATAAAATCGGATTTTTCTTTGTCTTCTTTCTTTTCAGGTGTTAGGGTACCAAAGTAGGACAGCAGACCAATAAAGGCCCAGTAAGCAGCAAACACTCGGCAAACAGTCGGCCTTCGCTCGGCATAGGCCGTTGACCGACGGTTCGGCTTGCCCCAGCCGGCCCGCGTTATGTAACCCCGGTACCGTTTAGCCAGGTTCTAACCGAAATCGGCCAGAATACGGCATGCCGCTGCAAAATCCTTCGGCTTGCCCTAGCCGGCCAGCTTACGGCTGGAATACGGTCTGCCGCGGCAAAAGCGATACATCTCACTGCTGTACGCACGCGAGCTAACTATAAATAGCGATTGGTTGCAATATTTAGTTGAAAGTGTGCGTCCGTAATGGCATAGCTGAACATTCATTGTTTGGAGTCCCCATCTCCATCCTCATCTGCTCAGTAACGAATAATATTATGTCTAGCTAGTCGAGTGTGTTAAAGAAGTATCTTGCCATTCAGAGAATTTCAGGACTGAAATTATAGGATATACCTCTCCAGGACGTCTGTAGGCTTTTTTTGAATAGCCAGGCGGTTGTGGCCGGCACTCGGCCAATTATACACAGTCGACACTCGGCCGAGTAAACATAGCCGACATTCGGCCAGGCGGATATGCCCGACAGTTGGCCAGGCGGACATGCCCGTTCTACACGCCGGAAGAAATACGTGTGTCGGGCCGCACGCGGCTGATTCGGCAAAACGTATTCGGGCCGTATGCGGGCCGGCTAGCTTGTGCTTACTGGGGGCACGTGTGCCTACTAAGCAAAAAAATCTTGGCACAGCTTAGAAATAGAATGGTAACGCAGACTCCGTGCAGAGCCTTTGTACAAGTCGAATCATAGCCGTAAAATAATAAAGTAATAAATAATTAGTGAAGCCAGTCAAATTAGTTTTATTCAGGGTAAAATACCCTGAGCAAGAAAACATAAATTATATGTAAAATAAACGTCAAAGGTTGTAGTGTGATGTATTAGAATCTTGTAAAATATATGTCACATGAACGGCGCTATGATGAGCTTATGTCCGGATCCTGGTCTTTGAATTGGCCCTAACCGTTACGTGGATAAGGAGACGTAAAAATTGCGTTTTTAAATGTATAAAAATAATACATTTTGTAGGTACCTAGTTAAAAACGAAATTATAATTATAATTTTCGGCCTTACTTCCGTATTTTGCCAAAAAACGTTTTGATCGCTGCTTGGCGGTTCGGATCCACTTCTTGCTATCTTTCTCAGACATTTTCGGTCAGGCGGAATATTTTCATACTGGCTTCTAAACCAAACATTACCCGGTCAACATTTAACGTAACACAGTATTGCCGTTATGTAACATAGGAGTCACATTGTAACGATGTTACTAAAATGCAACGCAATTGCGTTAAGTTACCTAAAATAATGGTATAATCCAAGTTAACCAATATATTAGCCTATAGGCAATATAACAATAACGTAACATTGTGAAACTATTGTAATGTAACAAAATTACCTATAAGCAATATAACAGCAACGTAAAATTGTAAAACTATTGTAATGCAACAAAATTACCAATATGCAATATAACAGTAACGTAACATTGCAATACTATTGTAATAAGTTTGTTTCGTAACAGCTACATTTATGTTACGTAACAAACTTATACTTATACACATCATTTACATCTCGCTCGTGTTACCACCTCGATTAGGTATATAAACGAAGTTAAGACAGCGCACCATGTCCATTTGTCATTGGACCTCAAACAGTATGCCTGATTATGGGAAAGTCAGAATACGATATTATTATCATTATATATTATGTATCATTTGATACGCTTTAGCGTTCAACTGACAGGACTTTCTCATGTCGATCATAATAACGTTGCAACGTAACAATGTTACATAATCGTAAAGGCCATGTTCTGTAACATAACTTGGATTGCGAAAATGTAACGGCAACGTAACATTGTTACCTATTTGCAACCATCAGGTTATGTAACTGTAATGTTTCTTATTACGATTGTTGTATAAGATTTTGGTTAATGTTACGTTACAGTTATGTTTCACTTTTATAGCGGCAATATAACATTGTTATCCATTAAAAAGTTATGTAACAACAACATAACAATTATAATGCATTTATGTAACGACAACGTAACAATGTTACTTAAAAAAGCGTTAAATAGGAACCTATTTGCAACCCTCAGGTTATGTAACTGTAATGTTACATATTATGATCGTTGCATAACATTTTGGTTAATGTTACGTTACAGTTATGTTTCAATTTCATAACGGCAATGTAACATTGTTATGTAACAATGTTACTCCAACGAGTGGGAAATAGGAACCTATTTGCAACCGTCAGGTTATGTAACTAATGTTACACAACCCAATCGTTACATAACATTTTGTCTAATGTTACGTTACAGTTATGTTTCACTTTCATAACGGCAATGTAACATTGTTATGTAACAATGTTACTCCTATGAGTGGGAAATAGGAACCTATTTGCAACCATCATGTTATGTAACATATGTTACACATCACAAACGTTACATAACATTTTGGTTAATGTTACGTTACAATGTTGACCGGGTAATAACTTAAGTTACCTAATTAGGTTACCTTTTACAAATTTAGTTGTCCAAGAATCATCACATGTGGCGATATTGGGATAATTATAATTAATTATATTATATTATAATCGTATCGTATCGTAAGCCAACTTACCTAAACCGTTAATTCTCAATTAACGCCTAAACACTTATGGAAGACAATGTCTATCACACAGCAACAAAAATGACTTAAGTGTAAATTTACACTTCGATCGTTGAGTGAATCATTGTTCTTTGTGTTCTGTGGAATGGCAGTCCCAACGCAATGTTATGTAACGATTGTGATGTGTAACATTAAAGTTACATAACCTGACGGTTGCAAATAGGTTTCTATTTCCCACTCATTGAAGTAACATTGTTACATAATAATGTTACATTGACCAAAATGTTATGCAACGATCGTAATATGTAACATTACAGTTACATAACCTGACGGTTGCAAATAGGTAACTATTTCCCGCTTTTTTAAGTAACATTATTACATATCAATGTTACGTTGTCGTTACATAAATGCTTTATAATTATTATGTTGTTATGTATATTTTTAATGGACTACAATGTTACATTGCCGTTATGAAAGTGAAACATATCTGTAACGTAACATTAACCAACAATGTTATGCAACAATCGTAATATGTTACATTACAGTTACATAACCTGATGGTTTCAAATAGGTTAAAATGTTACGTTGCCGTTACATTTTCTCAATCCAAGTTATGTTACATAACATGGCCTTTACTGTTATGTAACATTGTTACGTTGCAACGTTATTTTGCTCGACATGAGAAAGTCCCGTCAGTTGAACGCTAAAGCGTATATATATATACGTATATACATAATATTATGTATATACGTATATATATATACGCTTTAGCGTTCAACTGACGGGACTTTCTCATGTCGAGCAAAATAATACGATATATATCGTATTCTGACTCTCGCATACTGTTTGAGGTCCAATGACAAATGGTGTAAATGATGTGTATAATAGGGTGGGCCGAAAAACGTACAAAAAAAAATATTTCAGATATTTATTTTTGGGTAGTAATAAAAAGTTACCTTGTGTTAAAAGTAATTGATTAGAAAAAAATGTAGCGTACTAGCCTATTACACTGTGCGACAATTTTCGGGTCATCGAAATTAAACCGCACCGGACCATTTTTTTCTGAAAATATACCTATCCAATAGCAAAACCCTCCCTGGGTTTGTAAAAGTTAGCTCGAATTTTTTTTATGGCCGTTTGTATTTTCGAGCTTCATATACGACAATTTAGACCTATAAATCGATTTTTCGCATATATTCGATTTATATCGTCAAGATTTTTTTGTAGAAATGTAGTTACTGCACTAATAAATCCATTTTGTGAACAACCTTTATCCCAATTTTTGGGACCAAATATTCGAAAAATTAATTTTTTTTAAATTTTTTGATAATATGTAAAAATGTATACAAAAAGAAGTAATTTATAAAATACCCACACAAAACTGAACAAGATTTTCCAAGATTTTCACACTCAACACCAAATATTTTGCCAAAAAATCTGTAGGAAAAAATTGAATAGATAAAATAGAGTTGTAGAAATTTTCTACTAGAAAAGTACAGTGAGTTTGATTTTTTATTTTGTATTAATTTTATTATTAAAAAACTTTTTTATATCAAAACATTGGGTAATCTGATTCATTGCTGAAGAATTCCATCCCTTCCACTTCTTCTCCTTTATTTCCTTGCTCTTCATTTTCATTTTTTTGATTCATCACTGGAGAATTTCATCCCTTCCACTTCTCCTTTATTTTCTTGTTCTTCA